TATATAATTAATAATATATAATAGAATTCAGAATAATATACATAAAACAAGATAGATGTTTTAGGGCAGAATCTACTCCTTTTTCTTCATCTTCTTCTTCATGAGTTTGAGTAGTATTGTGTAATTGGATAAAAAAACCCACATTACAAGCCACAAGTATTTAGTTATTAAGTTAAAAGTAAAAATAATTTGTCATTTCCTAATTGAACAGTTTATCCTTAAAAACCTTGGAGAGAGAGATATACAGCTCTAGTTTTAGTTTATTGAAATAAAATACTATAGAACTCAATGTGTGAAACTCTAATATAGCTAGGAACTAATAGACACCTAGGTCCAAACAAGAAATACCATCTCAAGCATTCAATCCCAACCTTAACAAAAAAAGGAGCAAAGACTCCTGAGTGGAAGAGCCCTGCTGAAGGACCTGCAGGTCCTGTCCTTGCCAGGCTGTGCTTGGGAGGACTTGGGCTGGCTCTGGGCAGGCAGCGAGGCCCAGGCTGGCAGGAGGGACGAGAAGGAGGAGAAAGAAGGAGGACATCTCTGCTTTGAGCTGTCCCAGCACAGCATCTCTTGCTCAGGGCATGGTCCAGCTCCAGCAGCTCCTCCCTGCTGCAGCCACAGGGCTGCTCAGCCCTGCATCCCCCAGGGACACAGCTGGAAACGTGAAAAGGTGCTGGAATCTGAGGTATTGATGATCCCGAGATTGTAGAAAGTCTCTGTCTGTCAGCCCCGCTGCCAAAGCAGAAGCCATAATTGGTCTGTGCTGGTTTCCAGGTTGTTTATTCTGTTTATCTCTCACATGTTCTGCTGCCCTGCCCAGCTCTGTCCTGCAGGGCAGCGTGTGGGGCTCTGCCCTCAGTGGGATGTGACAAACATTAAATACCAGAAACTCCCTGGGCTGGATTTACAATAACGTTCCAATATCTGTCACCTACGTTGGACAGTGTGTCCCCAGCCTGAACCAACAGAAAAATGCCAACACCACAGTGAGACATGGAGGGCGTGAAGAAGGAAAAAAAGGACAAGGCACACCCAATTTCCTCCATCTTGTCCCCTTTGAACCCCTAATCTAGAAACCTAAAATTTTACTTCTGCACCCGTGCCACACTTAATTATTACTCATATCAAACACTCAGAGCTTGTAATTCATCCTGTAAGATTGAAAACTCTTTTCCATGGCCAGAGATCACAGCCAGTGTCTCTGGGGGCTCTGTCCAGGGGGGTTCCTGACCCCTGCCAGGGTCCCAGACCTGCCAGGGCAGCCAGAGGGAAGCCCTGGACTCCCACAAAAAGGAGCAGCAAAACACACAGAGAGCTGGGGCAGCTCTGTGGGGACTGCTCAGCGTGCCACTGAGCTACCCAGGAGGGGAATAAGACATGAAGGTTCCATGGGGGTGTTTGGGAGCTGTGGTTTGAGGCAGTGCTGCCAAAAGCCTTCTTGGGATGGAATATTCCCAGCTCTGTGCGTGTCCCTGCAGGCCAGGATACCTGGCATGGGTGGCTGGGCTGTGTCCCAGCTGTCTCCTGCCTGCCAGGCTCCTCCATCTCCTTGGCAGGAGAAACCCTGGGATAGAGTGTGGGAGGTGCAAGCTGGGTTTGTCCTGGGTGCCTGCAGTCACTGCAGTGTCAGATTGGGCCCTTTCCTGACCCAGAGCTGGGGCAACTGAGAGGTGGCTTAAAAACTTTTATTCCATTTTCAGTCTCATGAGAAGGGTGAGACAATACAGATGTTATCATTCACACCATCACAATCAGAAACCAACTATTTCCTAATTACAAAACATTAGAAGCATTTATTGGCCTATCAGCTTTAGCTACATTTTTAAAAAAACTTACACTATACTTTGTACTTATATATATATACACTTATCTACTTTATACTATACTTTACAGTTATAAAAACTTATTTCATACTTACACTATACTTTATACTTATATATATACACTTACCTACTTTATATTATACTTTATACTTAAAGTGCACTTTTACTTTTTAAATCTTATTTTTAGTTTCATTTCTCTCTCAACAATATCTATCTTATTCTATAATATTTCTAAGTTAACATTTCTTATCTCAATGTTTGCACACAAATATGTGAGCCTTCTGTCAGATTTTAAGAATTTTCTATAAATCCCTTTCCCACGCTGCAGGAAGCTCTGTGTGTGTGTGTGTGTGAGCAGCAATCCTGCTCCTGGTTGTTTTTATGGATCTGCAGGCCAGCAGGAGGAAACCAAACCATTAGGGGTTCCCTTGCCTCCATCCTTTCTCACTGGGCTGCTGGGAACATGCTGAAGAAAATATGCCCTATCAAGAAGAGAGGGTTTTCCCTCCACATTCTGTCATTCCCACTTATTTGTAAAATATAACTTGATAGCTGTGCTGCAGTGGGCTAATTACACCTTATTTTGTGGCTGAACTTCATGTTTGTGATGTAATTGTGTAAAGGTAGGAGGTGAAAGTGGAAATAGCTCAGAAAACAGCCTGATGTTTCTCACAGGAGGTCTGTATGCTGAAATCTTTCCATTCTCCAGTGTGCAAACACTGCAAACCCCCACAGAAATACTTCTCCAAACCAGGCAGCCTCATTGATCCTTTGACAGGAATTATGTGGCCACCCATTCCATTCTGTCCTGAGCTTAACTATCATCATAAGAAATCAATAAAACCCCTCAAAAGCAGAATTACAGCAGCTCTTGGCAACTTGGTGATTTTCAGCCGAGTAAACAGAGCTGAGTTACCAGTGCACAACCAAAATTCCTTGTCTTGAGCTTGCTGAGTGATTTCCTTTGCCATGAGCAGAAAATGCTGCGCTTAGTGAGTTTATTGAACCTCTGCTCACAGAGGGTTTGACCTCTGTGCAGCATCTGAGGAGAGGATTTTGGTTTTTTGCCCCAAAATGAGGAGTGTGATGGGGGCTGGATTTTAGGTTCTTTCTATCCCCTGGCATGAAATTTTCCAAATTGCTGCTGGAAGGTGAAGCAGCATTTGGAGCTCTCCTGAGGGATGGGTATTTCCATCCTGTCTCCAGCACTTTCCCCTGGGCGTGCTGTGTTTGAGGAGGCAGGAGGCAGCTGGCACTGCTGAATCCCCTCCTGGCACAGCGTGCCCTGGGCTGGCACTGGGGTTTTGGGGGCTCTCACCCCACACTGGTGCCTGTGTGTTTGGGGTGTGAGGACTGCCCTGGCTGAATGTGGTGTTGGTGAGAGCAGCTCTGCTCCTGCCACAAACCTCCATCCACGGGGGGCGTGGGGCTTAGGGCATTCAGGGTGGAAGCTGAGAGGATGGGGCGTGCTGGGAGGCAGGGTTGGTGCTTTTCCTAGAACCTGGCCCTGGGAAGGTGCCAGATGATGCCCTTTTCTGACCCAGAGATGGGGCAACTGAGAGGTGCTTTAAAAACTTGTATTCTATTTTTAAAATTACAATAACAATATTCTACTCTAACAATAAAATTTTGTACTGAGTTTCAGTACCAAAAAAAAAATATAAATAATCCATAATTAAATGTTGCTCCCCATCATCCTATATACAGACACACAAGTTTGTAGTACAATTGTACTGCCCAAGTACCCCCGAAAAATGAAATTACTAACCTAAGTAAATTCCCACAGGAAGGGGAGTGATGTGCTTGGGGAGAAGCCTCCAAGCCCCAGGCCAGGGGAAGTGTTTGTGTGCCCAGGCTGTGGCAGGGCTGGAGGACACCTCAGAGATGGGAGCACCTCATTTGGCTGCTTGCTGGGGGAAGGGCCCTCGGTGGTGCCAGAGGCATGACAGGGCTTGGATTTGGATTTTGGGCAGTGAAACTGATGCCTTGTGCAGGCTGCCCTAGAACAGGGACTGGACAGAGCGAAAGAATAAAGCAGGGATTTATTAGGAGGCCTCCATGGATCCACCTTGGGCAGCACCAAAGCCCAGCCAGGGCTGCACCCAAGATGACCCAAAATGGTCCCAAAATGCACGAGCGCTCCCGGGGGCTCTCCCTGGGATCAGTTCTGCTCCATTGGCACCTTGGAGTTCATTGTCCCATTCCAGCTTCAGCCCAGGCAGTCCCATCCTGCTTGTTTTTCTCTCTCCAGCCCACGGTGTTTGTGCTCCTGGGCTGAGGTTTGGATCATTGTCCTTGGTGCCCAGCTGGAGCAGGAATTGTTTTGTCTCCCTGCTCTGTGCAGAGAGCTCACCATCCCATAACAGGAGCCTCAGAAGTACACACTGAAGCAGCACAGGGTCTGAAAAATAGAAAAGCTAAACCCAGAGGCATCAAAGCAGACTGTGCAAGGCTATGTGGTGGGAGAATAATGTTCCTGCTGTGCCCCCCTGGGGACTCACTCCCCCCAGGTGTGTCCTGGGAGGTTGGAGTGTCTCCTGTTCCCTTCAAGCAGGGAAGGAGTCCAGGCTGGCAGGAGCTGGGCAGGCACAGAGAGGCAGTGCTGGCAGGGATTTCAGTGCCTGCACACCCTGGCATGAGGAGGGGAAGGGTGGGCAGGGATCCCCAGCCCTGAGCTCTCCTTTTCTGGGGCTGTGAGCAAGGAAGGCTCTGTGGGAACACGTGGGATGCTTGGCTGGGAGAGGCTGGAGGTGTAGAGCTGGAACTCAGTTTGCTGTGGCTGCATCTTGTCAGTGTTGCTGCCACCCTCTTCTCGAGAGAGGAAAATGAGATTCATTTTCCAGCAGGGATGAAACCCCCATCTCCCTGGCCCCTGGTGCTAGGAGGGGAGGCTGTGACCATCCTTTGCTGACTCCAGAGCTTTGGGGATGAGCATCCATCCTCTCCACTCTCTCCATTTCCCTTCCCTTCCCATTCAGCCACAGCTGTGCCCAGTCAGACACAGCTCCTGGACTGGCACAGAGCAACCAGAAAACCAAGAGGGGCTCAGGACCCCCTCACCGCTCCCTTTCTTTCACACCAGCAGTGGAAGGGTTACAATGAAACCCTTCTGTGCAGAGCTTCTGGAATTCCAGCTTCTCAGTGTGCTGGAGAGAAACGCAGCAGGAATTGGAAATATTTGACCCCAGTAATGGGGTGGCATTGCTGGACATTATTTTGGACATGGTTCATGGAGCCTGGGGGGGTGAGGGCAGCTCTGGATGCTGCAGCCTTGGGGTCACACGAGGACACCACGGGGAAGGCAGGGATGCTGCTCCAGCCTTGTCTTGTTGAGGAAGGGGTGGACCTCTCCTGGTGGATGCTCCTAGGGAGCAACCAGCCCTCCTGCATCATGTGGAGGCTCCTTCCTCGCCCTCCCACTGCTGCTCCTGTCTCTGTCAGAGCTCACGGTGACATCCTGTGGTTTCTGTGTCCCTTAAGGAGCTGGCACGGGGCTGGCCATGGGGACAGGAGTGTGCTGTGACAGCTGGGCTGTGCTCCCCAGCTGCTGCCTTCACAACCTCTGATCCCTTTCTAATCATCTGCCGGGCTGAGGCCGTTCAGCCAGGCAGCAGCAAAGCCAGCTGAGGAAATGCCTCTCGGGGAGCTCAATCGGCTCCCTGAGGCACAAAACGACCTTAAGAGCTAAATTAAAGGAGTGAAAGCAGTTCCCTGGCTTTCAGCTCATCTTCCTCAGCCAGTGCTGACCTGTTCCAGTGCCAGGATGAAGAATCACCTCCTGCAGTAAGTGGCTGCAGTGCAGGTGCTGTGTGGACCTTCCCCTGCTCAGCTCCTTCCTCCTGCACTTATGGCTTCCCTTGGGGATCCTGCAGCGCTGACACCTGGAGAAGGTCCCTTCTTCATCCTGGCAGCTGCATTTCCAGTTGGGAAAGGCAGCCTGGAGCATTGAGATTGCCTGAATGCACCCAAACCAGGCAGTCAGCATGGCCTGCATCCCCAGCATGAGCCCCAGCTGTTTTCGAGCCCCACGGGACACACCCTTGTTAGATAGGAAATAACCTGGAGTGTCAGTGAAAAGCCCTTTGGTTCTTTTAGGGCACTTTAATTGACTTTGCACCCCTGCAGCAGCGCAGGAGCCGCTCGGGCAGCGCTGCTGCAGCCGCCTCAGCGCAGGGCAGCGTTCCAGTCACTCCAGCAGTGACACAGTGGCATGGCTGCCACCTCTCTACTGGAATTTCGCGTGCACGTACTCGGCCCCGTGCTCCTGGTAGTCGCCCTTTGTCATCCAGGTGTGCTGGAAGGACGTGAGCGAGGCTGCCATGGAGCCCCCAGCCCAGGCTGCCGTGCCCCTGCCGGGGTTCGCCAGCACCTCGATGTGGAGGCCCGCTCCTTGGAAGAGGAGGTTCAGCTCCAGGCACATCCTCTCGGGGAAGCCGGGGAACAAGGAGGAGCCTCCCGAGAGCACGATGTTGCCCAGCACGGGCCTCCTGGCGTGCCGGGGCACCGCCCGCAGGCTGTGCCCGGCCAGCTGGTGCAGCCCGGGGCCGCTGTGCTGCAGCAGCTCCGGCCGGAACAGCGGCTCCGGGCAGCAGAAGCGCTCCTTGCCCAGCGTGATCCAGCGCCCGTCGGGGGTCTGGAAGCTGGCCGGGCGATGGGAGCCCTCGTCCCGCAGCTGTGCCTCGTAGTCCAAGGACACGTAGCAGCATCGCTCCTTGAGCTGGCTGAGCGCGCTCTCGGTCAGCGCCTGCAGCGCCGCGGGCTCGGCGGGGCTCTGCAGCAGCAGCCGCCGCAGGTGCCCGGACAGGTGGTCCCCGGCCAGCCCCAGGCGGCGGGTGCCCTGCCGCAGCGTCCGGCCCCCGCAGACGGGCGTGACATGGCACACGGCCGCCCCGGCCTCCACGGCCAGCCCGGTGACCCGGCCGTGGGCGCAGAGCGACAGCAGCCCGCTGTTGGCCACGTGCAGGGCGGGCACCCCGAGGCTCTCGAACAGCACCTCGGCCGCCTTCGCCCTGCCCGCCGCGGGGCACGACGGGGACTCGGCCAGGAGCACCGGGTGCTCCTCTGGGGACACTCCGAGGCAGCAGCGCAGGAGGTGGCTCCACAGGCTCCTCACGGCGTCCCAGTCCGCCACCAGGCCGTGCTGCAGCGGCGCCGCGGCCCGGCGGGGCGCGCTCCCCGCGGCGGGGCCGGCCCGCCCCGGCGCCGCCCTCAGCTCGCACTGCGGCCGCGGCTGGCCCGCGAAGCCGCCCCGCGTGCAGCGGCTGCCGCTGTCGATCACCACCGCGGGCCGCAGCATGGCTGGAGCTCCAGGGCTGCCGGGCCCTGCGGTGGGACGAGAGCGGGCTGTGAGGGCAAAGCGGGCCCAGGCGGCTGCTCTGCAAGGGGGCTGGCTCAGCCCCTCTGCTGTCTGCGCTGGGCACGTCCCTGCTGGCTCCTCGCTCCCCGTCTCGCTGTACCTTGGGGTACCTTGTCTCCGTCCCCAGAGGTTTTCTAACAGTGCCAGGACAGAACTTGAGGTGGCTTTGAGAAAGCAAGTGATCACTGGACAGGAAAGTTGAGTGGCTGGTCCAAATCCTGGGCTGTACCTGAAGGAGAGGAGCCAGAAGGTCAAAGGAGGTGACTCTTCTCACCTACTCTGCTCTTGTGGCACCCCATTTGGAATATTGTTCACAGTTCTGGTGTCTCCAGCTTAAGGACACGGAACTGTTGGAGGAATTCCAGAGGAGGCCACAGAGTTGCTGAGGGGACTGGAGCACCTCCCCTCTGGAGACAGGCTGAGAAAGATGGGGCTGAGAAGGGTGTGTGGAGACCTCACAGCGCCTTTCCAGTGAGAGAAGGGGCTGCAGGGAAGTGGGAGAGGATTCTTTGTCAGGAGCTGTGGTGACAGGACAAGGGGAATGGGATCAAACTGAAAGAGGGGAAATTTATGCTGGATATTAAATGCAAGAAGTTCTTTACTGTGAGGGTGGGCAGGCCCTGGCACAGGTGCCCAGAGCAGCTGTGGCTGCCCCTGGATCCCTGGCAGTGCCCAAGGCCAGGCTGGACAGGGCTTGGAGCACCCTGGGATGGTGGAAGGTATCCCTGCCATGGCAGGGGGCATTGGAACTGGATGATCTCTGAGGTCCATTCCAATCCCTTAACATCCTATGATTCTGCAAACACTGCTGCCAGCAGAGCCCACAGCACATGGAGAGGAGCTGAGAGATCTGTGATCCCAGCTGGCAGAGAAAGGCAGGAGTTTGGGGTGCCTCTGTGTGTGTCCAGGCTCTTCCCTGCCTCTCTGTGCCTCCCAGACCTGCTCCTGTGGTATGGTGTGCCTCTTGACCTGTTCTTTGGGCATTCTCCAGGCCAGGTGACCCCTTTGTTCTCCCCAAAGCTTCTCACGTGCCCCTCTGGATGCACTTTTACATGCCCAGTGTAAGCATACGTCAGAAATTCATGGAAGCAGACAGGCTTGGCACTGTTTCCCTGGGCAGGGAGGGCACAAAGCCAGCCCCTGCCTGCGCCTGCCAGTGGTGGGGGGGTCCCTGGGGGAGCTGCCAGCACCCAGGGGCCACCATGGGCTCCCAGCCTTGTCCCCAAGCCCTGCAGTGAGCAGAGCAGGCTGTGAGCGGGTGGCACAAGGGGTGCTGTGCCAGCCCTGGGGCCCTCCCCGGGGCTGGGGCTGTCCCTGAGAATGACCTTTGCCTTGTGCCTTGTGTCCATGTGTCCTGCACGGCTCCTGGAGCTGGCAGAGCCAGGCCAGAGCTGTGGGTGCTGGGACAGGGGTGCCCATGGAACCGTGGCTGCATTCCCCATTGTGATCTCACAGCAAGGCACCCCGAGGGTTCTTGTGCCCCACAGCCTCACTTCTGCCCTCAAAGTGTCACTTTTGGTGATAATTCAGATTTGACTGAAACTCACCCCGTTCGGTTTAATTACGGGACTGCCCTTCCCAGGCGTGGCTCTACTGCCCCTGCACAGAGGCAGATCTGGCAGAGCTGACAGATCCTCTCTCCTCTCCCCCAGAGGTACGAGACAGCCTCGAAGATGGAGCAGTTCCTGACGCGGTTCCTGCTGCGGGAAACCATGCACCAGCTGCAGTCCCTGCAGGCATCCCTCGAGTGCGCCGTGGACACGGTGGAGGAGCAGGCGGGACGGGAGAGGTACCGGGCTGGGACCTGCTGCCCCCTGTCCCCAGCCCCTCCTCACTGGGAGGGACAGCCAGGAGCCCTCTCCCAGCCCAGAGCGGAGCTGACACCTCTAGGAATGACTTCAACCCCTCCTTTTGCTTTGTTTTGCTTTTAATTCCAGAAAGGAGATCAAGAAACCGGAGACTTCGGTCGGCCCGAGGTCAGGGCGGCGGTGTGGGCGCAGGGGACAGAAGAACATCTGCCTGTCCCCAGCAGACCCCTACTCTGGGATGCTGACCACAGGTACCTGCTGTTCCCCAGGTTCTTTGTGTGCTGCTGCAGCCCGGAGGGGGTGTGGGACCAGCACAGAATCACAGAATCAGTGAGGTGGGAAAAGATCTCCAAGATCGAGTCCAACAGTTCTCCCAGCACTGCCATGGCCACCACTAACACGTGTCCCCAAGTGCCACATCTCCAGCAGCACTGGGCAGTGAGGGCTTCTTCAGGATGGAGCCTGGTGCATCTTGTCCAGCTTCCAGCTGGAACTTCTGGGGGATGTTTTATCTCTTGAGGAGTAGGAAAAAAAAATCTATTATTTTTTTATGAAATCAGGGGTTTAGATGATTTTGTGGGTTTTGGGTCCTGAGCCAGCTTTGGCCATGTCAAAGCTGAGCTTATTTTGGGTGACACCTCTGTGCCCTTTGCCCTGCAGGTGTTTGTGTCGAGGACAACAGCCAGTGGATGGCTCAGATCAACAGGCTCCAGCAGATCATCGAGAAGCTAGAGTGCAAGGTGTGTGCCCAGGGGGTGCCCCACACCTGGGCACGGCCACATCAGTGCTGGGACTCCCTCCCGTGCCAGCAGCCCCCCTCCTCAGCCCTGCCATTGTCACAGAGCTGCACCCTGCACCCCTTCCCCCGCAGCTCTGCTCACCTCTCCTGCCTCCCCGGGGTGCTGAGGAGTCCCCCCGGCCCCACTGACCCCACGGGTGTGCAGAGCACAGCCTGCCCTCCCCTGGGTACCACAGGGGTGTCCCTGGGTGGCACCCGGCTGTCCCTGGAGTCTGTGCCTGTCCTGCCTAGAACTCTCCAGGTACCTCCGGTGTTTCCCGGTAACTCTGTTTTGTCACGATAAATCTGCTTTTTCCCCGGTGCTAATGCAGAGCCCGCGCCTGGAGCCGCTGAAGGAGGAAGCCATGTGCAAAGGAGAGGATGCAGTAAGTCCCTGTCCCTGTCCCCGTCCCTGTCCGTGTCCCTGTCCCCGTCCCTGTCCCTGTCCCTGTCCCTGTCCGTGTCCCTGTCCCCGTGGTGTGCAGTGACCTCTGTCACACGCTGCCCCTGTGCCCAGCCTGGGCAGCTCTGTAGCTCTGAGCAGGCTGGATTCAGGGCTGGGACCCTCCAGGGGACAAATGCAGCTCCCTCGTGTCCCTGCCAGCCGCGGGCAGTGCCCCCTGCCAGCCCAGAGCAATGCAACCACTCCAGGAGTGCCCACAGAGCCGGTGGGGGTGCCCAGGCCCCTTTCCGTGGGGATCTGCAGCAGGACCCCCACGGGGGCTGCAGCATCCCCGCTGCTCCCTGCAAGAACAGCCTGCCCTGTGGGGAGGGCTGCTTTGTGTCCCCGCTGTCCCCAGCACGGTGGTGGCACAGCTGGCACACGGGGGGGAGGGAGGGCAGGAGGGGACAGCCCCTGACGCCTGCTGTCCCCCGGCAGCACATCCTGGTGGCCAAGAGGCAGATCTCGGTGGCCACGAGCGGCATCGAGGAGTTCCGGCAGGCGTTCCGCTCCTACACCGAGGGCACGGCCGGGCACAGCAGCTGCCTGCAGTAAGTGGGGTGCTCTGGGGGTGTTTTGGGAGGTGGCCCCCCAGAAATGGGGGTTTTAACACCCTCAGGGGACGCCAAGGTTTGTGTGGAGTGTTTTGTGTGCTGGCCAGGGCAGGGCTGGGCTCGGAGCTGGCAGGCAGGATGGTGCCACGGCTGCAGCAGTGCCATCCCATCTGCTGCAGGGATTCCCAGTGAGAACCAGTGCCTGGCCAGGGGTGGGGGGTTGTGCCTGCAGGAGTGGCTGTGGCCGCTCCTGTAAGAGAAACACGAGCTCCTCCAGCACTGAAGGACTCAAAAGCAACGGGAAGGTCAAGGGCAGGGCTCCTGCAGAGCTCTGATTGATGGAGAGCCCGTGGGAAACTGCCACGAGCACCTGAGGCTGCCCCTGGGTGAGGCCAAGGCTGCCCAGAGCCCTGCTGTGCCTGCAGGGACATGGCAGTGCCAGCCTGGCCCCGAAGGCACAGCTGCTGCCTCCCCCTGTCCCACGGGGCACTCCGGGCCGCCTGCAGCAGGGAACGTTCCTGCTGTTCCCGTTTCGAGAGTCCTTTCTCAGCTCTTCACGTTCAACAGCACAAATTCACATTTTCAGTCCAAACAAAAGGAAGATGCTCGCTGTGACACGTGTGGTGGAGAGAATGGGAGGTTTTTCCTTTGGAATTGATGGGCTTTTTTGTCATCAGGGCTATTTGTGGAGACAGCGGGGTGGCGTTCGTGGGCTGGCGCTCCACGTGAGCCCAAAGCTGGAGCTGAGCCTGGGGACACTCCATGGGGCTGGGGACACTCCATGAGCCCGGGGACACCCCATGAGCCCAGGGATACTCCATGGGGCTGGGGACACTCCATGAGCCTGGGGATGCTCCGTGAGCCCGGGGACACTCTGTGGGGCTGGGGACACTCTGTGGGACTGGGGACACTCCATGAGCCCGGGGACACTCCATGAGCCTGGGGATGCTCCGTGGGGCTGGGTCCCTCCAGGGAATGGCAGAGCCCATGTGGGAGCAGGGGACACGGCCTCAGAGCTGCTGGGTGACACGCTGTGCTGTCCCCCCTGGGAATGGGCTTGGCCCCCTCCAGCAGCTGCAGGAAAGGCTGCTCCTCAGCTGGAATTGCTGCTGCTGCAGCCCAGCACAGCTGCTTCCCCTGGCCCTGCACCCCCAGCACCGCAGTCACCCCTGGCTGCCTCCCCAGCAGCAGCCCCGGCCTCTCCTGGGCACGAGGGAATGTGGGAAGCAGCACTCTGGGGACAGAGAGCTGTGGGTTTGTGCTGTGAGCTCAGCTCCTGCCCCGTGCCTCAGTTTCCCCCCCGTGTGAAGGGCTGGCAGGATGAGCTGTGTCAGTGCTGGGGAGGCATAAGAAATAATAAAAGACAGAACGTGCTGGCTCCTGGGCAGCAGCAAAGAGCAGTGTAAGAGCTGGAAAGCTCCTCTGGCCCCTGGGCACAGCAGCTGTGGAGCAGGATTTGGGATCCTCTGGAGCTGTTCACCAAGTGTGAATGCAGCCAGACTGGGCTTGGGGAGCCCCGTGGGGAGGCTGATGGGCACACGTGGCCATGCCGTGCCAGGGCTGTGCCAGGGCCGTGCCAAGGCCGTGCCGGGCCATGCCAGGACTGTGCCAGGGCTGTGCCAAGCTGTGCCAGGGCCATGCCAGGACTGTGCCAGGGCTGTGCCAGCCTGCCCAGCCGGCTCAGGGTCGCTCTGTCCCCGCAGTGTCTCTGCCTGCAAGCTGACGGACGAGGCCTGCTTCATCCTGTACGAGTTCTGGCAGGACGTGACCTCCTGGAGAAGGTGGGGCAGTGCCCGTGTGTGGGGCTGGGGGGCTCAAAGGGGTGCCCCCTGCTCCCTTCCCTTGCCCAGCCTGTGCCACTGCTCTGCCCTGTGTGCCCCATCTGCAGCTCACAGGGGTGAACACCCCGATGTAGGACTTGGGGAGCAGGGCAGGAGCAGGGGCTGGTGCTGGGGTGCAGAAGCTGCCCTGTCCCTGTGTGTGGGCAGAGGGCCCTGGCACCACATCCCCTGAGCCTTCACCTTGTTTTACAGCCACTTGCAGTCCAGCTGCAGCAAGACTTTCCAGCAGTCCATCCTCAGCTTGCTGGAGTCCCCGGAGCTGCTGACCACCATGCTCTTCCCAGGTGAGGGTGCCTCCGTGCTGCTCTGGGGGTGCTGCACAGGGCAGGAGCAGGCATTGTGGCTCCCTTCAGAGCAGAAAATTGCTTTGGGGTGACCTAAATGAGGTTTTTCAAGCCTCAGGGTAAGACACGCTGTCCCCAGCAGGTTTGGGTGTGAGTTGGGGTCTGTCCCCTGCCCAAGGGTGCTCTCCAGTGGGGACAGCCAGGAGCAGGGACACTGCCTGGGTAGCAGATAAGCTGAGTCCTGTCCCAAATACACCTGGTGCCTCGATTTGTGTTTCCCCTGAGCCCTGAACGTGCTCTGCAAAGCGCTGGTGCTGCCAGGCCAGGGGCTGCCTGCAGGGTCACAGCCCAGCCCTGGGGCAGGGGAGGCCAGACAGGGACCGTGCACATTCCCAGGGGACCAATGGGACCAGCTGTGGGAACTGGGAACCAAAGTCAGCCCTGGTTTGCTTTCAGGGATCACTTCAGAGTCTTGTAAAATATTAGTCCATAAAACAAGGATTAATTTGGACTGAAGCCTGCTGCTCCCGACTTGCCAGTCCCGCTGACCACATTCCCAGTGCTCTCCTGCAGAAGTTGCCACAGTTCCAGGGAATCTCCCCTCTCCAGGCTCCCTGCCCGGGGTGGGGTGGGTGCTTTAGAGCCAGGGACCTGCAGGGTGAGGTCCCCCATCTCTGCCACCCCAAATCCCCATTCCCAGTTTCCCACTGCCCTCACCTCCCTGCTTTCCCTCTCTTCCCAGCTTCCTGGTGGATCATGAACAACAACTGACCCGGGGCAGCATCTCCAGGACCCATCAGCATGCAGGAGGACCTGGAGCCCTGGGCACAGCCTTTGTCCCCTTTGTCACCTCCCTGTCCCTCCATTCCCTCCTGTGGCCTCTGCCCGGCCAGTGTTTTGCTCCTTTGCTCTTCTCATGTTAATTTATTTCTCTATCCTGCTCCTAAGCCAGTGTCCGAGCTGCCTGGGGGAGCCATGGCTGGGGTGGCAGCCCGGCCCCTGGGGGAGCACTGCTGGTGCTGCATCCCAGGAGCCTTCAGCCCCTCCTCCTCCTCCTGGCGCTGAGGCTGCCCAGGATGGGCAGGGGGACACAGCCCTGGCCAGCTGTGACATCCTGCCCAGGGAGCCAGGTGGCCTGATATGGATTGTGGAGAGTGTTTTATAGGGAAAAAATATTTCATGAAGTGCTTCTGGCAAGGGGTACCTGCTCATGCCCTGCCACGCTGGCAGCAGGCGCCGTGGCTTCGAGGTTGGCTTTGTGCCCCACCAGCTGTGCCCACAGCTGAGCCTGTCCCCAGCACATCCCACTCCCAGGGAAGGCCAGAGTGGCTCCAGGCTGCTGCTTCCTCAGTGCCCAGAAACCAGCCCTGGCACTGGGCAGTGGTGCCAGAAGCTGGAGCTGAGTTCATGGGGAGGGGTCTGGGGTGGGGGCACGAAGGGAGGGGGGAAGGCTGGAGCAGATCCCACCTGCTCCAGGGTGGCACTGGCGGTTTCCTTGGTGGTGCTGCAGCAGCAGAGCCTCTGCTGAGCTGGGAAGAAATGCCTTGGCACAGCCAGTGTGGAGGGAGTGGCAGGGCACAGGGGACAAGAGGGACAGCAGCCACCCTGCTGGCCTGGAGAACATCATCCCTGTGCCCCTGCCTGTCCTCAATACCAGCGTGGCACCCCAAATCCTCACTCACCCGGGACCTGCTACCACCCCAACCTCTTCTCCCACTCCCTGCGGGTGGTGCTCCACCAGAAACATTAATTTGGGTGTTTCTGCCCCAGTCCCTGGATGCAGGCAGGAAAAGCTGTGCCCGAAGGGGCAGTGGGTGCAGCTGCCTCCTGGGGACCCCTCAGGCACCCTGTGCTGGGTGGGTGTGACACGGTGTCACCCCTGGCCCCAGGGGTGACAGCACAGGAGGGGTCACTGGCTTTTGGGGAGTTGGTTTTGCTGCAGCAGAAGCTGCCTGGTTGGGGTGCCAGAGGCTGACCTGGCTGATGCCAGGAACAAGCTGCAGAGATGGGATCAGGGAAGCTCCTGCTTGGAGGGACAGCAGCTGCTGCTGCCAGCCCAGCTGGGCACTGCCACACCCCACCCAGGCGGGCTCAGCACCCAAACCACAAATGGCCCTCCCAGGGGTGGGGTGGCAGAGCCTGGCCCTGTTCCCATGGGGACCCACCCCCCAGGCACCCCGTTGTTTGCCTGATGATCAATCCCTGCTGCTGTCCCTGGCCAAAGCCAGGATTTGCTGTGCCCATGGGGCCCTACATTCCTGCTCCAGGGAGTGACAAACAAGGGATGCAGGGATGCAGCAGCCTGGGCCATCAGGAGGGGACAGGCTGTGCCAGGGCACAGCCAGGCTGGGTCAGAGGGGGGCAGCCACAGGGGCAGAGCTGCAGCAGGCACTGGTTTGGGATTCCTGAGCTGCCTCCCCAGCCCCGTGTGGGGTTCACCCCTCAGTTTTGGGTTTCTTCACCACTGGATGAATGTTGGCAGCAGCCTGGAGACCAAAAGCCTCAGATGAAGCCAAGGTGTGGGCAGGGGGCAGCCCAGAGGGGCACAGGGCTGGCAGTGGAAGCCAGCTGAGACAGCACCTTGCAGGCTGCTCTGTGCTCACATAAAAATAAATCATTTAAAAAAAGCTCGGAAAACAACACACTGAGCCATAAATTCAAAGAAATCACTGAGGATAGGGCTGAACTCCAGCTCTGCCTGCACTTGCTCCCAGGCTCTGCCCCCAGCATCACCACCACAGCGGGGGCAATTTTTGACCCTAGAAGTCCCCTGGCCAAGGCCAAGATTGTGGCAGTGTTCCCCAAAAACCCCAAGAGCTGCCTGAGCACTGCTGAAAATCTCTGCCCCTTCCCATAGAGAAGGGGGAGCTGGAGGATGAATATAGTCTTTTTATTGACTACTTTTGAGAGTAGAACAAACTAAATACATCTGTAACAGTTTGGGTTCCTTTATACAGGACATTAAATAAGTTATGCACAGGAATGAAGTAACAAATTTCTATTACAGAATTAAATGTCAAAAAAAAAAAAAATAGAAACCTTAACCCAATGTCTTCCCACACCCCAAGTTCACATTTATCATTCCATCTTTAAAAAAAAAAACAACAAAAAAAGAAAGAAGCAATCATTCTAATCATGACTGTTAGTATTTCATTCATTTACACTGGGGTTAATTTTAATACACGGCCATCAACGTTGCATGAGAGTTATGGAAGACAATCTATTTACAACAACTCCTTCCAGCCCTGCCCTGCTCTCCCCTCCCAGCCCAGCCTGGCACTGTCACCACCACCCACAGCCTGAGGCTGGGGCTGCAGGTGAGGAGGGGACGTCACAGCACCTGGGATTGACCTGAGGCTGGTCCAGAAGTGTCCCTTAGGGCAGGAATTCCCTTCCTGACAGCCCTGGGATGGGCTGCTGCAGGTCAGGGTGGCTCCAGTGCCACCCCACTGGGAGCTGCCTCAGTGCCAGTGTGCTCCAGCACCGATCCTGGGGACACAGGGGAGACATCCCCAGGGCCACTGGAGCTGTCTTCAACACCAGACCTCGTGGCTTCTTAGCAAAACCTTGCAGACAAGGAATCACCAGCTCCATCCCACAACAGCAGCTGCCCAAGGAGCTTTCCTGAGGGGCCAGGCTGGAGCAGCAGGTTCCCTGCTCACCCCTGTAACAACTCATTACAGCTCCATTATTCGCCTCCAATTGAAAAAGTGATCAAAAATAATTTGGGAATTACTTGCCTCATTGGGCTCCAGCCCAGCAGTGGCACACACACAGTAACAAACACGGCTCTGCTGAAGAGGATTTCTAGAGCCCCTGTGGGAGCTGGGAGCAGCTCCTGGAGGCACGTCCCCTCCCTGCCACAGGCTGTGCCACTGCCACCCTGTGTGACACTCCTGGCAGCCCTGCTGCAGGGCTGTGCTGTCACAGCCTGCACTGCCCTGGGTCCCTCCAACCCCTCCTCCCACCCCACTGCAGGGACTCTGGGATGGATGGAGCTCCCCAGGCTGGCCCCTTCCCCAGGGGCCTCGTTTTCCTCTGCTTTTGGGATCCTCTGATCCTGTGGTTTCAGGATCATCTCTGAAGGTGGATGCACATCCCTGGGCATCTCTGGATGCAGCACTGCAGGAAGCTCCTGGAGCTGGGGATAAGAACAGATACAGGACACCCAGTCCTGCCTTTCTTTTACCAGCGTGGCCGATGTGAGTGGAGAGCACAGGCTGTAAATAACCCCTTGCACCAGCGAGGATCCCTGGGCTCAAAACAACAGCAGGAACTCACAAACCAGCAGCTTCCAGGCAGTGAAAAAACAAAACAACGGCCCCCAGGTGGAAAGGGCACCTGCACCCAGCCCAGATCTGCTGTGCACGTGTTCCCCCAGCACAGGCCCCACCCAGGAAACACCCAACTGTCTGTCTCACCACAGACTGAGATGAAATCCAGGCCATCCAGCAGCACCTCCCTGCCACTGCCTCTTGTTTTAGAGCAGACAAATCCTCTCCTCCCTCTCTGCAACCCTCAGCTGCCAGCCTGGAGGCAGAAGTGGGCTCAGCTTTGGCCATTGCAGAGGATGAGATGCTCCTGCTGGGAAATTGGCTCTGGTCTGTTCACAGCAACAACAGGCCCACACAGCCACCTGAGGCACAGCTGCCTGGGAGCAGGGAACAAACGCTGGGTGTTATGGAGGAAAGGTGCCAGGAGGAGCAGTGGTGGCTCTGACACCTTGGGAAGCGAGCCTGAGCATGCCACAGGGACAGGGCTCCCTGCTTGGGCACCACACTCTCAGCATCTCCGGCGCGTGCCAGCGCTCTGCCCCAGTCCAGGTCCCCTGAGCGGGTGCCCAGTGTCACTCAGGTCCTGACACTGCTCTGGTGTCCCCCTGAGAGGAGCAGGGAGATGCTGCAGGTGAGGCTCACCCCAGTTCACGAGCCACAAAGGAAAGGGCAGGATGAGAGGGCAAAGCCGGAGTGTCGGCA